ATATATAATTATTTTTAATTCGGGCCCCTATCTGTAATTATTTTCATTTTTCGGGCCCTTATTTGTAATTTCCCCATAAATTTATTAGTATCAGAACTAACTGAACACTTATCTTCAGAATAAAGATGGATACGCCTATCCGTTCTTATAACAGATTTTATTCGACAAATAATCGATAACTAATACTTATCATCTTGCGTTTATTATGATAAATAATAGTTAATATCATGTATAACTTAAAAAAAAGTGAATAAAAATCACAGTAAATACTTTAATAGAGAATCTATCTTTATATATCCGTGTAACAATGTTCGTGACACTAAGGAATAGCCAATCAAAACCTGAGACAACATATCGTATACATATCTGATATATTTTTAATTAAAATTTGAGAAACTTTGAAAACGTTTTTATCTTTATGAAACAGAATATATATTCATATATATCGTACCAATATGATGGTGACCTCATCAAGGAGACCTAGTACCAGAAAGACCACTTCTTTATTTAGCAGCCAGAGGCAACAATCACGGCCTCAAGTCTACGAGCAAAGTTCTGGTGCATCTGATCTAGAATCTGACGAATTTATGGAAGAAGAGACAATGGCTAAACGTGGTGATTCTTATCAAAGTGAGGATGAAGAGATGGATGCGGAACTCGATGAAATGATGGAAGAAGAAGACGATGATGAATATATTGAAATTGAATCGAGAATAGAGGAAGGAGAGGAAGCTGAGGAAGAAGACGTTGAACAAGCTGAAGAAGAAGAAGCTGAACAAGCCGAAGAACCTGAGGAAGAAACTGAACAAGTCGATGACGATATTGACGTAGAAGACGACATAGACGAATGCGACGATGCAACTCCTGTTGACGACGAAGACGATTTTGAGATTGGTGATGAGGAAGACGAAGATGAGGAAATTGAAGAGGAAGAACGTAGTTATGAGAGCAAAACAGCTACCACGCGACGAACAAGAGGAAGTAGAGGTGTTTCGCGACGTACACCTCAAAAACAAAAGCGGCCTCTAAGGCAACAAAAAGCACCGCCTCAAACTAGTAATTCAAGAAAAAAGTGTATGCTGTAATAATTTTTCTCGAGTTGTGTCTAATTTATAGCCATTCAACTGAATATCAACTTTCTTTTATTAGCAAGCAGGCATGATATTAAAGAACATTAATCATATGGCTGTTTTTCCTCAATAAATAATCATATTGTTTTTATTAAAGTATGGCGGAATCATCATCTTCATCTTACGATGCTCGTATTCTTACCAAACGACAAAGGGCTAAATTGGATGACAATTATGATTCAGACTTACTTCAACTTCCAATGGGTTAATATTACTCTCTATATATTATGTTCTAATGTCTTTAGAAAAACTTACGAATCTTAATTTATTAGAACCAATGAAAAAAAAGCAACTCACTGAGGAGGAAATGCTCTTAAAAAAGTCTGAAATAGCACGAAGAAGAAAGCATCAGAGCATTCAACGTGCTGAGCAAGATAAGGTACTTTACTTATTAGTGTCTATTATTATTATTATTATTATTATTATTATTATTATTATTATTATTATTATTATTATTATTATTATTATTATTAT